ATTTTTGTAACTAGTGTGGTGTTTTATCTGGTTCTTGTAACAGATGTACAGTAGATTGTTACGATAAGCTTAGATACCGTGTTTAACTGTAGGTTAACTGTATGTGAGTCTTAAGTTAGTGGTGCAAGGTGACGAATATAAACCGTAGATTCACGACCGTAAGCATGCTAAATAAGCGCATATTGTGGGTTTGCTTTTATTAGGTATACCTCATCTACATCAAATTTATACTTAGAATTTTTAACAACACCTTGCCAGGTTGTGTAAACAATAATTGGATTGAATGTCTATTGGCAGAACATCTTTGATACGTAAAGAGTCCTTCATGAGGAGTTTCATTAGTAGTGGTCTTGATTTTTTCACATTTTTTGTTGTTGTAAGTTAAATTCTTTGCTTTTTAAGGTTGTAGTCATAATTCTTTTGCATTTTTTTGCAGATTATCATATTATCAAGATAAGCAAAAGTCTTTCAATATCTGATCAGCATAAAGTTGTCCACTGTTTTTTGAAATTGAGTTGTTCCGTTTGTCACGGCATACACATGAGCTGATGTAAACCTCTGTCATTTTAAATGCAGTAAACAGACGGTATTCTTGTTTAATTGGGATCTAGTGATAGGCTGATTTCAAATCAATGGTACTCAAGTATTGATACTGCAAAATTTTGTTTACAAGTTCAACAACTTGTGATAGAGGGTAGGCATTAAGACATGTAAAACAATTGATAGTTTGACTATAGTTTTTGACTATGCACTTTTTTGATCACTTGTTTGTTACAATGACTTGTGATCTCAGGGGTGATGTTGAAGGCTCGATAATTCCTTCTTTGTAAAGGTGTTGCACTTCAGAGCTAAAAAAAAATTCTGTCTTCAGCACTGTAGAGGCAAGATTTTGAGGCTATTAGGTTACAATCAGATGTCAGGTTTTCAAACAAATTTAGACGCTTTACATTTAATGTAGCTTAATGTGTTTATCTAATGTGTTCAAAGTCCAAAATACAAGAGGTACTTTCAATCCACCAAAATTAGGCATTACACTTTTGAGCTGGGACGGGAAATCAATACTAAGAATAATATCAGCACACATTCCTCCATAATATGTAGTCTTTCATTGGGATAGTTTTAGTAATAAATTTTTATGTCAACTAAACAAACAATAGGGGTTGACAAAGTTGATGCCATTTGAACTGAGCTGTGAGTTGATAACACTTTGAGAGGGAGTTAGTTGATTAGTTTAAGGTAAATAAAGCTATCCACTTCAATAGGGAACTTCCACTCTCAATAAGAGCTTTTATTGTATGTTTATTGATTGTGATATTAAAATTAGACTTTTGAAAAATTGGATTTATATTACTAGTAGTAGTAGTTGCTAATGTTGGTTTTAAGATAGATGCAGCTCTTGAGTTAGTGTTATTTTACTTTGAAAGATATTACACTAGTTTTGTCAAACATAACCTCTAATGATATGCTTCTATTTTTGAGAAGTCGTTGTTGGATTTCATTATAAGTTATACCACTGACAAAGAAGTGTCAATGATATATTGAGGTAATACCTCTAAAAAATATTTAAAAGTTTTAAACCAATGTTTAAATTTTTGGTTACTTGATGGTGTGTTTGGAGGTGATTCAAATCGTGCTGGTCATAAAGCTTTTTCCTTTTGTTCTTTGTTACACAATGAATTACAAGTTAATAAAACTGTTGTGGGTTCAAAGGATAATTGACACTAATTGAATTATTACTTTTTAACTTTTTATTAACTAAAACAAAAGAAGAAATATTAATATAACAACAATATTATTAATGTTAGATTTCATCACATAACTGCTTATTTATGTATGTTAAATCAACTTAGTTATTGTTACTTACAGAGACAATTCTACACTTTTATCAGAATGTAGAATATAGAATGATTAAAAACCAAAAGGAACAAATATAAACATAAGAACTTTTTTTAAAGACAATATTCTTAAAATTATCTTTACTTTATTAAAATTTAGGAAATTTTTTTTTATGTTTGACAAATGTGGGGACCCCTAGTGCCCCAGCCTTATGGATCCTCTGGTCATCTAGCCTGAAATAATTTTAACACAAATTGATCAGGACTACACAAATGCTGAAAGTTTCATAGCTTCAGTTTGTCTGAAATGTAGTGAAAAATCAAAGCACACAAATAACATTGTTAATATATATATATATATATATATATATATATATATATATATATATATATATATATATATATATATATATATATATATATATATATATATATATATATATATATATATATATATATATATATATATATATATATATATAGAGCCGTCCTTAGAAAATGCGAAGCTTAGAGCAAAACATTTTTGCAAGGCCTTCTTGAAAGTCTTTTTTTTTGGCGCTTTGACGAAGAAAACGTTTTTCTCTTACTGTCTTAAAAGAGGTTGTATAAGTGAAAAACATAAATTTTGGGTGGTTTAACTTTGAGTTGTTATTTTCGTGTAGGTT